CTTATCTTTCTTATTGTGGCTATAATAATTAATATTTAGAGCATGTCTGTGCTAGGCCTTAAGCTGTACAGTTGATAACAATAGTATTTAAGTAAAATACAGCACTGCTAACTAACACTGATGGAGCATGTGTGCTGAGACCTATGCTAAGTGTTATTAATAAGGATAATATTGACAGGAGCAGCAGTTATTACTGCCTGACATCATGGGGGATGGTCATTTCTACACGACAGGGCATTTATCATGAGCTTGGATGCCAGAGCTGGCAGTGCCAGGCACTGTGCTAAGCCTTTAATGTGCATTTGCTCATTTAATTCCCACAACAGCCTGGTGAGGAGGGCCTACTGCTATCGTGTTTTCAGAAGGGGAAACTGGGGTTTAGGGAGCTGAGATGTCTTGCCTGCCCATTCATCATTGTGACCTCTTGGCGTGGGCAAGAGCCGTGGCCCTTTGCAGGGAACACTCCCTTTGTGCCCATGGAAGCCGAGGGCAAGCTGTGCCCTATGTCCCCCACCTGGACGGCTGTCATACAGGCCAGACACTAAAAGCAGCAGGAGGAAGAACCACCTCTGTACCCTGCGGGGACCTCAGCCCAGTCCTGCTGCTTCTAGATGCTTCTCAGTGCTGTGAGCCAATTAATCCCCTTTCACCTAATGTGGTTTGAGCTGGGTTTCTGCCTCCTAAAAAGTCCAGACTAATAAAACATCTCATTGAGCTAAAACCCGAGTATCTGACAAGTTCTTGACTTACCCGCAGGCAATTCTGTTTCCCAGAAAATAGAGGAAGCAAGCAAGAAAATTGCTACTCAGAACCTAATTCTGACCAACATGGACAAACTGGTCAGTGAAGTGAATGTGACATGTAACTGGCAAGGAAATGGATCCATCACCTTGAGTTTGTGGTGATCTGAGAGGTGCCAGGTAGGAGGAGGAGAGATTTTATACAACCCCAAACGATGACACTGTAATATTTTCTATATGACTCGAGATGTGTGATAATCCTAAACCTCTATAAAGGGATCATACTCAGTCAGATAAGCCAGAAAAAGAAAAATATTGGATGATTTCACTTACAGGAGGAATGAGGGGAAGCCAAACAAGGGATCAGGAAAAAAATATAATAAATTAGAAAACAACATTAACAGGCGACTATAGATCAGAGACATTCTGCAGGGGAGGGAAGAGCACAAGGGACTGTGGTGATAGCGCACAGGTGAATTGGTGGTGGGAATTTTATGGGGACTATACTAGAGAGGAGAAAGCATACACTGTACAAAAAGGAAGAATGATGTAAAATACATATAAAATAAAAAAATACTGCAGCTCATCAAAAATTAAAATGTACTGTTTTTAAAATGAAATAAGCTTAGTGGATTCAGACTTGAAGAAATATCAATTCAGTACACTAACAGGATATTTTGAAGAGTCTAAAATTATATAGTAGGGTTGGGGAAACATAATATTTTAAGTTTTTAAGCATAACTCCCACAACTTAAGCTGTCAGTAAAGAGATCCCATTTAAAATAATGCAAAGCTACTCAATTATACCAGCCAACATGGTGTCATGCAGCGTCCCTTAAAGCGGGTTTGAGGAAAGGCGTAGCTCTCTCCTGAGGGCAGTGTTCCACCATCCTTAACAATGGGGGCTCCCTCTTGCACATCTGTTAGCTCAGTGTCCTCTTAGAAGGCACTTGTCTGAGAAAAATGAGACCTCAGTGAAATAGCAGTGGCCTCCCAGCTGTGCCAGAAAGACAGCTGCTGGTCCCAGGACCTACTATGGTCTGAGCAAAAAAAATGATGTTTTCTGAAATAAACTCATTTATACAAAGGTCTTTGATCAACGAAACATTCAGGGCTCTGTTTAAATTGGATTGATTAGATTAATTCAGAATTAAGTTTCTCCACTTGATCTTGGATCTTGGATACCTCTAAAATTTTGATTAAAATTATGGATTCTCTCCTTAGAGAAATGTACCTATATACAAATTTTGGAAAATAGGGGATCCATAGATTTCAGAAGACCAGCGATGAACCACAGGGTAAGGATTCCAGTAATAAACAGAAGAAAAATGTCTAAAACAAATCCTAGCTGGACAGGCTGGCTGACTTCGGCCCAGGGACACAAGTTCTCTAAGATGGCAATATTCATGACTTTCAGCTCACAGGGCAGTTGTGAGGATAAAATAAAACACTGTGTTTAGAGCACACCATGAGTGCTCTAAAAATCACCTGATGGCACATTATTATGGTTGTTGTTATTATTGGTAGTATTTACAATTTGTTAGAATATTTTCCTTAGAAGGAAGGATTTCATAAATGATTTCCTGCCTGGCAGGTTTTTGTGATACAACATACAAATGATAACAAACAGCTGCTTAAAATGTGCAGCTAAATGTCTGTGTTTCCAGTGTTATTATTTCTCTGTCTCAGGTCCTAAGACTGAGCTGGGGTGGGGGAGGGGGTGTGGTTAGTGCAGGGAGAAGGGAGAGAAAAAAAGACTCTTCCACATTTCTCGGGTAAAGGCATATTTAGAACAAGCAGAAAATCTATTTCATGAGCCAGAGTTGGGGTTTAGAAAAGTGCCCACCGATGCAGGAACTGTAACCTTAGTGATTTCCATCTTAGTTTTGCCCTGAACCTGGCCATTGTGGTCATTATTTTGCTGCACAAGATCAGTGACCTAATTTCCTGGTGAAGCCCAAATGAAGGGTTTGGGCAACAAACAGATTAGAAATCTGGCATCTTTACAAAAAACAGTTAAGAGACTGAATGCACAGCAAAACTTAAAACAAAGAGAACTTGCTCTGGTCTCCCAGGGCCCCGGAAGTTCTCACCCAGACAGACTTCAGACTTCTCTCCCAATTAGAGTCCATCGGAAAGCCATCACACACCAATTAAAATAGTCAAACTGACCAAAAAACCCTCCCCGGGACTACCGGCCACTTCCACTTAGCTGTGTTCTGCTAAGGAATTGGCAAAAGCGGTTTCTAAGAGTTGTAGATTCTCAATTCGCCCCTTTCCCTTATGTTGCTCTGTGGGGTGCTAGGCATCTTCACATTCATTCTCTCCCTTGGGTTCACCTCTGGTGTGCGCTGCTCACTGTGCTGGGCATGTGGGCCTGTGCGGGTTTCTCTACCACACAAGGCACCCTCCTACCGTGGGCCTTTGCACCTGCTCTTCGCTCTGCTCCACACTCTCCCCTCCCACCTCCTACTCATTTTCAAAATCCTGGCTTGAAATGTCCCTCCTTCAGCAGAGCTTCCCTGACCTCCCAGACTAGACTGGAGCTTTAGGACACACTCCCGTAGTTTCCAAACTCCCTGCATGGCACTTATCACAGCTTGCCGATGAATGTTTCCACTTCTTTTTGATTACAGTCAGTCTCCCCTCCTGCGAGTATTCTCCATGGAAGCAGGCATCAGGCCTCGCTCTTCACAGGATACCCGGCTCATCCCAGAGAGCCAGGCACCAGCATGGCCTCGGTTTGAATGGATGGATGAAAGACAGTGTGATTATACTCATTTTCCAGGTGAAGGAAGAGGCTCAGAGAAGAGTGTTGCTTCTCAAGGTCACGTCTGGGCCCAGGAGCCCTGCCTCTCAGCTGGTTCTTACCCTCCAGGGCTGCCCGGGAGCAGGGCTTTCTGGGGGATATCATTTCAGCTCCCGTGTGCCCACTCCAGGAGGGTGTCCTAGGCAACCACCGGCCCAGCCCTGAGCATTAGCTGACTGTCCCCCCCACCCCCATGGCTGCCACCCCCAAGACGCCCACAGCCTGAGTCCCCATGACTGCAGCGTCGGGTGGTCCAGGCCCCTCCTTCCAGGATCACTCAGCATCCTTCGAGGCAGGTCCTTGAAGGCCCTACAATTACTCCCACTCTCCCAAGAGCTGGGAGGGTGGGAATGGGGATAATTAAGGAGGAGGATGACAGGCCCTTCTCCTTTACCAAGAATATCTCCCACCTCCTGGGGCATTGCTGCCGTAGGTTTGATTATGCGTGCCCATGATCACAAAGCTGTTCCCTTCCTTGCTTAATTCTTTGAGCCTGGTGTGAATTTCTGGTTGGAAGCAGGCTTGGAAGACCATTATGCATGAGGTTGAGTTCCGTGGGGACAGGGACATATGTGACATGCTCACGGCTCCATCTCAGGCTGGTAGGATGGCACTGGCACACAGGTGGTGTCCTATTCAATGAATGAACTACGACTTTCCCAGTGTCGGGCACTCACTGACCGTCGACATTATAGGGACTGGTACTAGCCTGTTTTACAGAATAGCCAACCAAGATCGAGAGTTCAGACACTTGCCCGAGGTCAAAAACCTAGTGAGTAGAAGAGGCAGGATTCAACTCTGGGCCAAAGCACCACGTGGGGAGGGACTAGGACTGGGAATTCTGACCAGAAGTTAAAGGTGTTTGCTGGTGATGCAAATGTGCGAGCAGTTTCAACACTAGGAAATATGCTCGGCAGGGGACAGGGAGAGAAAGACCATGAGGCACATTTTTAAACCAAGTGCAAAGTCAAGTGGCTAGGGCCCACGAGGCCTTCGTGCCATTTGCTGCAGTCTTGCAGTAGCTGAGCACCTCCTGTGTGTAACTCAGTTTCCTGAACGGGAATCTCAGAGGCCCAGGGTTCTGAGATGGGGCCGTGTGGAGGCTGGTGACACTCTATAACCAAGGCATCTCCCTGAGCTCCTCCAACTCCTTGGCCCCGTGTAACTCAACCTCCACCCCCCAGGCAGAGCCGGGGAGTCTGCTCAGAGCACTGCCCGGGAAGCTGGCCAGCCAAGCAGTGGGTGGAGGCGCGCAGGGACGGAAGGCAGATTACATGTCACTTCATATTAGCCACACCGGCAGCTTTCCCGAACCACCCAGAGAGGGGCGAATTAATTGCAATTTTGAGGCCAAGCCAAAAGCATAGCTAACGCTGCAATGGAAGGAGATTGTATCTCCTTTTCAGTCATGGGAGGCTACAAAGGCCTCCCAGAGGGCCAGACTCGCTTACCTGTGAGGTACATCTCCTCCCCTTCAGTGAACATCTGGTGGCAGCGGACACATCTGGCACAGGTTGGGTGGTAGTGTTTTCCTCCTGCCTGTGGAAATGAGCAGATGAAACAGGAGGTCAGAGCCGTTGTCCGGTGAGGGCAGGCTGGGCGTGGACACCCCCAGGGAATGTCAGTGTTGCTGATGTCTCATGGCCCTGAGGGGGAGTCCAGAGGCATCACGACTGGGAAGGCTGATGATGCCACATCTGCGAACTTTGGACACTTTCCCTTCTATTTCGTCCCTTCGAGACCACCAATCCAATCTCATTTCCAGATGGGAGGACAATCTTTGCTTTGGGACATCCCAGCATTTCCCTAAGAATAGGCCCTCACCACTATCACTGGTGACATGTGAGCTGATTTTAAGTGGTATGTGGACCAGGATGGAATAACAATAGATGGGTGAGAAAAAATGTCTCCTTTTCCAGCCTCGGTCAAGTCCTCTGATTTTTTTCAAGATGAAAGTACCAGTTGTGTCTTCAACATCTACCCCAAAACTCACCAATTTACCTTTTAAGAAAGAGAGCATGGAGCCCCCAGAAGCAATTAAATTTAGCTAGAATTCTATTTTTTGGTTATTGGCAATATAGCAAGCGGTCCTGGTTTTCTTGATATGTAAGTTTTCTATATGAAGTGAGCTACCTAGAAGACAATGAAAGGATTAGGTAAGATTGGGTACATGAAGTTCATAGATAGGGTAAAAAGCTGTCAGAGGAGCTCAGGAAAGATAATTTTAGGGCTCAGTAAACTAATAATGGGGCCTACAAAGTTAGAATCTGTTGGGGAGACTTTGAGCTCCAGGTCAAAGATGCCTTCAGTCCTGCATCTGTTGCCTCAGATGCCTTCAGTCCAGCCCCCCAAGCCCTCCCTCCAGCCTGCCCCGCTCACCCCAGTCTGGCTTTGGGGAGCTCCCTTCTCTCTTCCCACTTTCTTGCCTACCATTATCTAGTAAACATGAAACTGTTAGGCAGCTGCAAATTCTTCCATAGGGGTCAGAAGCAGCTTCAGAGATCTGCCTCAGGGGCTTAGTGGAGGTGAGCAGAAACGCAGAGCTGGCCCCTGCGGCCACTCACCAGCCCAGCACCAGTGCTCATTTCCATGTGGTTGATTCTGCCACTGAGGTCCCAGCCTTGGGGACCTGAAGTGAAGGGTCTTCAGTGGCAGCTCCAGAATGTCTGGATGGAAGGTGCTTGGTGTATGGACTGAGTTGGATGGTACTTTGAATGCTCTGAAAGTTACTTTGTATGTAGGGTGTTTTTGGAGGGGATGGGTCCACCTAGGGGAAACTGATGGATACTGGGGTTTGCTAAAGGTCTCCCCACTGCCAGTGGTCTGATGCCACTGGCTTCCTTCTAATTCATAAAGATTATAATTGCACAAGGCAGCCTATTTTCAAACCATTTTGGTGGGGGGGGGGTTGGGCATGGGTTTGTCTATTCTGGAGACCTTTGATTTATTCTGAAAATTTAGCAAGAATGTGGGAAGGTAGATTTTCTAAAAAAGAAAAAAAAAAAAACACAACCTCTCCAACATCCCTCTCTTTTTTTCAATTGTGGTTGTGTGCGTGGCGCCCACCAATGATAACATGGCCTTATCATCATCCAAACAAACTGTGTTCAAACTTTGGAAGGAGCCTACTCTTTTCCCAAGCTGCGATGTCATGGGACTGGTTGCCTTGTACCCTGACAAGAATAATCAGCTTAATTAGTAGCCTTTTCCTACTTTGTGTCTCTTTATCATTTCAATTATAGATCTGTTTTCCAGGGTGGCACCAGCGCCTTGGCAAAACTGAAGCTTGGCATCTTTGTAAATGTCACGCCTCGCCACCCCACCCCTGCTGAAAGAGGCTTTGTGCCTCTCCGCACCCTGGTGGGGGCGGGGTGAAGGGAGAGTTTAAAAATGACTCGGAGGAAGGGAGGCTGTTAGAGCAGCCTGCACTGGCCGGCAGATGGGAAACTGAGTCAGTGAGACAAAATGAAGACCAGAGAATAGACAGAGGCAAAGAATTAGTACCTGGAAACTGGGGAATCTCACACAGGCCTGAGAATCATAAGCAAGGCTAGAAAAGGCAGTTCAAGGACATCAGTTTGTGGTTCTCCTTGGTGAGGGCACAGACGAGGAAGGAAGAAGAGCAACTGGCATTCAGCATGCTGATTGTCACTGAGGGAGGGACTATGTGTGGGCAGCCTGGGAGGGAGTGGGAAAGGGAAGCGGAATTTAATTATGGGCCTACTGTGTACCTGGCTGGGCCTTGGAGTGGGCAGTTGCTGTTTTTGTCTAGCCACCACCCTTCCTTCTCCTTCCAGGAACAGTATCCAACCTTGAGTGGGTGGGACTAGCTGGTCCCAAATTAGTCCAGGTGGGCAACCAGGGTCAGGCCACCAATAAACGCACTCTGACACTATGTCACAACTATTGGGGCAGAGGTGGGCCCGAGGTAGGCCAGTGGGTCAGTCCCAGGCTCTCTGCTGAGTTATTAGACAAAAGCGGCTCTGTTCCCACTGGAGACTCAGGCTGATGGGGTGTCCCCTGGGGGCCACTGGTGTCCAAGGTGCCCATCATGAAGAGGGCCTTACTGAGAGTAAAGCCAACATAGAAGAGAGTGGAGGTAAGACGATGAGATATTCCAAGTGCATTTGAACACTGGATCCAGCCGTGCCTGAAGCCTATCTTCTCTCATCTGAGCCATTCAAGTATAGTTTCTCTACCAGTAACTAACACAGTCCTGACTAACTATGGAGCACAAACACACTCCTGTGCATGTCTTTCATTCTCACACTACTACCACACCACAGCACTACTACAGCAGACGTGTTTTTTTTTTTTTTTTAACTCCCACTAGATCTGAGACAATAGCTGTGCATCCTACCATTTAATTCAATTCTGACACTATCTACCTGGAGAGAGGATCAGACCCCACAGGTTAAGGGCTCTCCCACCAGGCCTCACCACTTCAGTGGTTAATCCTAAGTCCCAGGTTGTCACTTTGCACTTCTGACCAATTAGCTATACACTGGGGTTCTCACAACTCCCAGCTTGGGTTCGATAATTTTCCAGAGTGGTTCACAGGATTCAGGAGCCATGTCTCCCAGTTTATTACAAAGGATATGACAAAGGATACAGATGAACATCCAGACGAGAGATGTGTAAGGACAGGTCTGTGGAGAGGGCTGTGGAGCTTCCCTGCCCTCTCCCTCACCCTCCTCCCAGCACCTGCCAGCACCTCCACGGAAGCCCTCCAACCTCGTGCTCATCGGGATTTTATGGAGGTTTCATCATACCATGAACTCATCTCCAGTCCTTTCCCTTCCCTGGAGGATGTAGACTGACCGTTCCAAGCTTCCAAACATGGCCAGGTCCTGGGGTCCACTCAGAGCCTCATTAGAACAAAGGACAATCCTATCACCCAGGAAATGACATGGGTTTTAGGAACCTGTGCCAGGAACTGGGGTCAAAGACCAAATATTTGAACAAGAGATGTTCTTAGCGCTCTTGTCACTTGGGAGATTACAAGGCCCTTAGGAGCTCTGTGCCAGGAACAGGTAGGGGGTGGGAGGCAGAGACCAATATGTACACTTTCTATTATTTGCGCCAACATCAGGAGTTAAATAACAGTTGTATTCTCCACTGATAGATAAAACTCTGAGACGCAGAAAAGTGTCCTGCTTAAGGTGACACTGGACAAGCCTGCTTCACTGCAACCCTGTGTTTCCATGACATCATGCCACCTCAAAGACCCCTCAATGGTTGAGAGCTGAGGGCACTGGCGTGGGGTCCAGGAGCTCGAGCCTAGATCTCAGCTAGGTCTCCTCGGAAATACTGTGTGTGACCTTGGAAAAGCATCGCATGTCTTAGGCCTCGCTTTTCTTGTTTGTCAAACGAGGAGGGTGAACGAGTTGATTGCTAAAAGTCTCTTCCAGCTCTAAGGAAAAAAAAATCAATATGTCCAAGATGCTAATGGAGCCTCACACAAATGGAATCAATCGAAACCCAGTCACAACAGCTGCCCGGGAGGAAAGGCCCCTACAATGTTAAACAAGAGCACGGCGCAGGGGAAAGACGGCCACCACCGACATAATTTCAGAGTGGCTGGGAAATGCCGGGACCATTCCCAACTGCAGCTCTGTGTGCAATCCAAGTTTTTCTCTTTTGAGAGAAAAGTCTGCTGTTAGACACTCTTGGCCCACTGACCCTTCCCCGTACAATCTGGATGCCCCTCCCCTCCAATCCTGCAGACCCAGCAGGTTTTTCTCAGAAGGGGAGCTCCCCCACACCCTATAGCCTTTCCTTCACCGTCTGCATGGTTCTCAACTCCGCAGCGGCCCAGCGGCTTCTCTGCCAGCCTCCCCATCTTTTCTCATGTCCCTCCTCTCACTGCTCTCCCCCTTTCTCCAGGGCCCTGACTGCACTGCTTCCTTCTTTGGTGACTCCTCACTGTCCTCTGCCACCTGGAAGTCACCCCGCAAGGCCATCTGTGGCCCCCCCCTTCATGGCTAATCTTGATGACTCTCACGGTGCTGCTGTTACTCAAAGCCTAGTATTTCTGAGAAGGGCCCCTCAACCAGAGTGGTGTTCCTGAGCTGCCCACATTTATGGGAGTGCTTTCCTGAAACCTTTGTGGGATTCCTATCACAACCCATTCCAAATGGGACTTGCCATCTTTCTGCCCAGGTCAGCTTCTTTCTTCCAGTTCCATCTATGACAACACCAGGATTTGTACCTCTAGGCCTGAGGCTTTGCCCTCTTCTTCACTTCCTTACAACTGGAAAACTTTTGGAATTCCACTTCTGCCATGTTGGAGGCAGAGTGGTTGACCTAACTATAACCATCAGGACTTTGAGTCCTCCCAGAGGGTCATAGCCTCCTCACTGGCCTCCCACCTTTGGTTTCTTTCCTTCAGTTTAGTCCACACACATCATGTTATTCTCTCAACAGTGCAGCTTTCAGCTGGCCATCCCGCTAGGTGCTTCCTAGCTCCAGGCCCTGTCCTCACGTCCCACTCCACTTGCCCCTGTGAACACTCCACAGATGGTCACTCTGTGCACTTATCTTGCTCTCTGAATCTCTATACTCTTTTAAAAACTTAACTGTATCATCGTGTTCCTTGGCTTAAAACTGTCCAATGGCTGCTATTGAACTTGCCATAAAATTCAGCTCCTAACAATTCCACAAAGCCCTATGTGAAATACGCTATATGATACACCCCTCCCTCGCAAAACCCCCACCCATCATCTGGGAAGTCCAGCCTCTTCCCTGAATGTGAAAAGCCCGCTCTTTTCTACTCCTGGCTTGACAGCCACCTCCTCACAGAGTCAGCTTGGCTGCCTCTCCTGAGTCTGGTCCTGGTGCCACACTCCCCGCCAGCTGAGATGTGGCAGACTCCTCAACAGTGCTGGCTCCACTGACCATGACCCACCAGATTTGTCAGAACTAGTGGTTCTGCTTGTCAGAGCACACCCATTCACTGTGGGCTGGGAAAGGTGAGGCCTAGAGAGGCAAAGATCCTCAGCCCAAACCTGGGCGAGTTAGCAGTTGAGTTGACGGTAGCGCCCATTGTTTCACTCATACACTGTTTCTCCATCACACCATATTCTTCCCTGTTTCAAATTCTTCAAGGTGGGTGGTCACCAAAGTGCAGAAGACTACTCTGGGTATACGGGGTGTGGGAAGGAAGGCCAGGCAGGCCGAGGTTGAGGGGGGCGGGGTCTCAGTCAGAGTGCTGGGTTGTCTGTCGCTGGCAGAAGAGCCAGCTGAGCACCAGGCTGAGGAGAGCTGTTGCCATGGTGACGGGCCAGCCAAAGAAGGTCTCTGGGAGCAAGCTGCTAGACAAGCTGGTTCTTAAATCAGCACATTACAGACCACTTAAAAAATAAATGACACTGTACCCCCTAGCAGTGTTGGGGAGAAAATCAAAATTGTCACTTCCCAGTAACTGAGCCTCTGGGAAGCAACTGACAGCCCAGCATAGCATATTTTGAACTGGGAATAATTTTGTCCTCTTTCTCATTTTGGGGACGCCCAGAGGGGCAAGGTTGTCTGTTCAAGGTCATATAGAAAGTCAAGCTGGGGCAGAGGAAGCAGGTAGGTGGGGGCTATGTAGAAGGGGTATGCAGTGACTTTCTCCTTCCTCGGTGATGACTTTTTGGGGTTCAGCCATCCTGCTCAAACACCTTCACAGTTATTTGTAGCCACTCACCTCTAAGACTCGGCCGCTGATATACCGGTCACAAGTCTCGCACTTAATGCCGAACTGGGAGTGGTAGTCGGACTCGCAGTATGGAACGCCATCCCTGCAAGAGGAAATCCACATGGGAAGAAGTTGGGGGGGGTCTTGGGGTTGTCAAGTGGCAGTTCCAGGACCTGCAGCCCACGGCACTTGGGCCAAGATTAGACACACTGGCGAAACTCAAGAATGCAGATTCCCCAGATACCCTTCAGACCAATGGCATCAGAGCACCCTGGGGGAGAGGTGGGGCAGGAATTTGCTTCTTGACAAGTGAATCCAGGAACCACTGGTCTGCTGCTCTTGTGGGCACCCATTTTCCACTCTACTATCTCCTCCCCATAGGTTCCCCATTCTCTCCCCTTTATCACAAAGGGCTCTTTAAAAAATTATTTAAAAAAACCATTGAGGGTTTACTTTGTGTAGGTAATAGCTGCATATGGCCCATCACAAAAGCATAAGGGGAAAGTCTCCATGGTTCTTGCAGCCCCTCCCAGCAAGTAATCAATGTGATCAATTTCTGCCTTATCCTCAATTAAAAGTTTCTTCCACCTGTAGTGAAAGGCTCATCTTATGGTGTTCTCAGATCAGCAGGTAACAGGAGCCTCCTGACCACCTCCTGTGTGTCCCAACTTTGTCTGGTGCTTAAAACTCACAGGGCAAACTCACAAGAGATTGTTAATTACTCTTAGACTATCCTCCACCACCAATAGCCCTGGAACTCTATTGCTTGATGTGTGTGTACCCTCTGATGGGTTTTGCATAGATATTTCATTTAATCCTCAACAGTCCGACAAGGCCTGCCCTTTGTGTGGATGAGAAATCTCAACTCGGATGAACCAGAACTGGATTCAAACCCAGGTGGTCAGGTTGTCACAAGGATTAGAGGACCTGGCTCCAGGCTGTCCAAGGGCTCAGCACAATGCTCCGTGTGTCATGAGCACTTGATAAATGACAGCTAGAGAGACCCTCCTCCCATGATGGCCGAGAGGGGCCTCCAAGGGGGACATTTGGGGTTCAGCTTTCCAGGGCCCAAGTGGAAAAGCTATGGCACCAGGGAACTCAGCCCTGCCTCTGGGCCCTGCCTGGTTCTATGGACTGGAGCTGATGTCGTCTGTGAGGGAGGGACATTTTCTTCACTTAGGGGTGTAACAGAACTGCCCCCTCACAGAGAGACCTAAAGGACAGGCACCCCATGTTCCCATCTCAGGATTGTGGCTATGCAGGTTGGCCGGGAGCCCACTCCAGCAACACAGCTACAGATGATTCCTGAAGGGGAAGCAGTGATTAGGACGATGCCCAGCAAAGTCAGAATGTGGCCCTGCCCATGGGGAAGGGCTTACTGGAACATAGCCCCCCCACCACCCCCCCACCGCCCCAAACTCCAGTGGGTAGGAGAGTAACCCTGCAGGTGGGAAGCCAGCTGTCAGGAGGTGGAAACCATGAGGCAGCAAAATTTGGGTATAAATGCCAAAAGCGCCTGATTAGGCCCCACGGGTCAATGAAGATTCCTGGGGAATTTGCAATACATGAATCTAGAATGAGGCAGATGGGAAGGGTAATATTTCCCAGGCACTTAGGTACACAGCACAGATCTCTGAGCCTTTACATAACCCTAGGAGGTAGGTCTTCTTATCTCCATTTTTGTAAGTGAGGGAACGCAAAGTCAGACAAGTTGAGTCTCAGAGAAGTTGAGTCAGGCAGGCTGGGCTTAACTGGGTATTGATGCCACAGCTGGTGCCTGGCACCTGCCCCTCTGCCAGCAGAGCCAGAGCCAGGCTGCAGCAGCGGTGTGGTGGGCAGTCTGGGCGGGGCTGCTTGGGAGAGCTCTGTGCAAACCTGACTCCCCCAGAGTTCTAACTTAGGTTCCCAGACCCGAGGACTCCTGGCTGGCGACTCACAGGACACTCCCTACTTGGCAGGCATAGAGGGGAATGCCAAGCTCCTCCTGCCAGGCATTCGAAGCTCTGGGTGGTGCGACCTCAGTTCACCCCTTGCACCCTGGACCCCGCTCCCCCTGAGCTCCGGCCAAGGACAGGGGTGCACACGGCACCTTCCTCTCCCTGCCTAGCCCAGGTTGGGGCTCTGCCTGGGAGCCTTTCTTCTTTGCACTTTCAAATCTTACCCCACTTTGTGAGGTTTTACTCACAGATTCCTGACACCTGCTGGCTAGACATGAGTCCTCCTGTCTCTAAACACCCTCAGTTCTTCCCTGGTACCTCTGACACTGTGTTATCCCAGCATCTATCTCCTCTCTGCTGGTCTGGGTGTGCTTGGGTGCAACCTCTTCCCCCCAGAGTTACTGTGGGTCACAGAGGACTATTCTCTAGCTTTTGGGTTCAGAGCCTCCTGGCCAGTGAGTGGTCAGGCAGGGGTATGTGACTTATGTCTAGTGAGCCGGAAGTAGCCCTGGGCTACGCTGAGTTCTTGGGAAAGATTCTATCCTCCCCCTGCATCCGCAGCACCCTAATTCTCCACACACAGCTTATCTTCCTCACCGGGCCTCGTTGACAGCAGAACCGTATGAGCCTCAGTCCCACATGCCAGCTCTGTCTAGCACTGGGCCAGAGCTGGGTTAAAGCTATGAGGGTATGTGGTCATACATTTTAAAGGAACTTGCACATGTGGTCACCAGGCCTGGAGAATAGGGCTTGTCCAGCTCTGCGGTGTGCAGGTGGCCAGGGCTGGCCCTCATCCTGGTGATATCACGTGTCTGTCAGTTCTCATTTCAAGTAGCTTCATTCAACAACCAGGTAATGGACTAGGGGTCGGGCTCTGGGCTGAAGGTAGCAGTGATAGAGTCCCCCGCTCGGTGAGGACAGACAGTAAATATTATCCCTGGAGCAAGTCACTTACTCCTTTGAGCCTCAGTTTCCATGATTTTTAAAATGGGGATAAAAACCTCATGTGTGTAGTTAATGGATTGAATGTGATGAAACATACACAACTTCAGTACATCTCTTATACTTAATAAAAACTCAATACATGTCACTAGTATTATTATCATTATTAAAAAGTTAACACCGATAACTCTATCACTCTAGCCCATATGAAGGAAGTGAGCAGGGGACTGGGAGTGCCTGGAATAAGGTTGGGGTGGTAAGAGACAGATGGTGTGAAGCCTTCTAGGGGAGAATCCTGGGACCCCAGATTAGGGGGAAGGGAGGGAGAAAGCACACGCAGCTTGAAGGAGGGGGAAGAGCATCCCAGGCAGAAGAAAAGCAGGGAGGCTGCGATGACCTCTGTGCCCCATGGAAATGAAGGGGGTGCTGCTGGAGATCTGGGAGGGGCCCCAGAGCAGCAGGCCTGGCAGGAGGCGGGAGAGGGGAGGGAGACCCACTTGCTGATGTACTCCCCGGTGAGGATGACGCTGCAGGTCTGGCATTTGAAGCAGCTCACATGCCACTGCTTGTCCAGCGCCAGGAGTGACTGGCCGTGCTTGATCTCCTCCTTGCACCCCGCACAGTCTGCAACGACAAGGGGACCCACTGAGCAAGACATCCCGGGCCCCCGCGACCACTCTGCCATCTCACACCCCAGCGCACCTGGAAGCCCCACCCTGTGCGCCCCAGTTTCCCACAAGTGCCTGCAGCCTGGCTGTGACTCTGCTAGCAGAGGGGAAGGCCACTGGAGCCCAGGCCTCTCCATAAGTGTTCTTGTTGGGAGGGAGAAAGAGCTTCTAGGGTTCCTGCAGAAAGTTCCCTGCGGTCATCCGACAGCTGTCCCTCAAGTGGAGCCTGCGCTGCCCTGCCCTGTCCTCAGGCTGCCAACAGCTCCCACTACTCTCCGCAGCCAGGGAGCAGGGGGACGTGCCTCTGGGGCCCACCCGCTCTCCCAAATGTATCAAGATCCCATGCATGCGAAACACCACTCCAGGCCACAGGCTTGGTAGGCTTTGTTCTTACCCAAGGTGACCGCTCACCTTGGCAAGGGCTGTGTCTGTGCTTTGCATGTGCTATGGTTAAGCTTGCCCCCTCCCAGGCACCACGTTTGGCTCCTGGGTGGATCTCACACCATATCTGCCGTGTGCAGATGGAAGAGTGGGCCTGGAGGTACCTGGGCCAGGACAGAATATGCTGTGCCAGTCCCTTCACAGAGGGCTTATACTCCAAACATTTGCCTCCCCAAGCAGCAAGGATCAAAGAATCTGATGAAACTGTCCCAAACCCGAAAGATGCCCTCACCCTCAGTCACCATCACCCTGAATCCTGCACAGAATGTCCCCCTCCCTGGCGTCTGCCTGTTGCTCAATCGACTCTGAGAGAGGAAATGGAGCCAGCATCCAAGGTACTTGGGAGGTGCTGGGAATTCTGGCAGAGCCAACCGGATGGCCACTCTGGAGAAGGAAGGGTCACCGGGCAAAGGTTATCAGAGGACGAAGCTCCCTCTTGTGCAAGACCAAGGCACTGTTGGGAGCTGTGAGGAGAAAAGAAAATGTACGTGGAGTGGAGGGAACACTCACTTCCTGCTGGGGGGCCAGCTGGGGAGAAGCTGCTGTGTTTGCAGGTCTGCAAGAGAGGAGTGGTGGCCTGGCAGGCTGGGATGGGTGGGGTCTGCGTGATGAAGTGTTTGTACAGGGAGGCAGCTCCCACAGGACCCGCCTCCTGGTGCCTTTTTAACATCCCTCAGCACAAGCCAGGGGCCAGAAGGTCTCCTGCTGCAAAATGCTTCAAGCACAGGCCTTCAGTGAGGACTGAGAATAGTTTAAAGAATTTTTTCTTTCTTTTCTACCAGGTCAAGTCCATTTCTCACCCCCCACGCCATGCTCCATCCCCAAAATCAAGACTTCAGAACATAACAGCTGACAGAGGTCAGCAACCCCCTCCCCTCTGTAGACAGACAGTTGAAGTGTTCCTGTTCAGTCTAGAGAGCTCAAGCCTGGTCACAGATGAAGGCAAGCACCTTGGAGACTTCAAGGGTTTGGCTCCACTGTAATAAAGTGACTAGTATAATAAAGCAAGTCACATGAAATTTTTTGGCTTCCCAAAGCATATCAAAATTATGTTTATACTACACTGTAGTCTATTAAGTGTGCAACAGTATTATGTCTAAAAAAACCCAACCTACACACCTTCATTAAAAATACTTTATTGCTAAAACACGCTAACCATCATCTGAGCCTCCAGTGAGTTGTCATCTTTTTGCTGCTGGAGGGGCTGGCTTCCATGGGGATGGCTGCTGATGGATCGGGGTGGGGGGTGAAAGGGGGTACTGTGATGATTTCTCCAAATAAGACAATAATGAAATTTGTCACATCGATGGACTCTTGCACAAAAAGATTTCTCAGCAGCATGTGATGCTGGTTAATAGCACTTTTCCCACACTAGAGCTGTTTTCAAAATTGGATTCAATCTGTTCAAACCCTGCTGCTGCTTTATCAACCAAGTTTATGCCATATTCTAAATCCTTTGTTGTCATTTCAACAGCATTCACAGCATCTTCACAGGAGTAGAGACCATCTCAAGAAACCACTTCCTTTGCTCATCCATAGGCAGCGACTCTCACTTGCTATATAGCATGCACACTGCAGTCATTCAGGCACAGCTCCAGGCTCCACTTTCAAGTCCAGCTCTCTTGCTATTTCCACCACCTCTGGGGTTGCTTCCAAAACAACAATACCAACATCAAAGATCACTGATCACAGTTGGCCATGGCAGACATAATAGCAATGAATAAGTCTGAAATACTGTGAGAATTACCAAAATGAGACGGAGACAAGAACTTTAGCACATACGGTAGGAAAATGATGCCAGCAGGCTTGCTCGGTGTAGGATCGCTGTGTGTGTTCTATTTGTAAAAAAACGCAGTATCTGTCAAGTGCAATAAAGTGACACATGCCCGGACTGAACTTGTAATCTCTGTGGGCCTCCCTGCCAGCGTTAAGTAATCCCATCAGGCCTTGGACTTCCCAGAGCATTTGTTCAAACACCCCGCCCAAGGCGGGAATCTACAGCCTTCCTGACAGGTGGCAGGCACTGTCCTCTGCCGGCCCACGCGGAGGAAGAAGTTCACTTTGAGTCTGGACAGGCAGGACTGTCATGCCTGCCTGCTTTACAGGGAGCCGAGACGTGATTCCTTGGTACACCCCCCAGACCCCAGATTTATGAAACCAAGAGTAATTCACCTCTTTTCCCACAGGCAATTCCTTTAAATACTTAAAGACAACCACAGTTTCCTCTGTCTGCTCCTTACACTTCACTCTTCTTGGCCCTGCTTGATATGTTCGTCCCATGACCAAGTCCACTGTGGATTCCATGGAGAGAGACATGCTTTTGGCCAACAACACAATTCTCTATCTCTTCAATAGAATTCACTGGAGGAACTGCCCCCTTGCGTGCCACATTCAATAAGGAGTCCCATTCTTTAAGTTGCAGTGATTCATCCGAAAAGAATACAGCACCCTGAGTTAAAATTGGGGCGGCAGAACAGTGCAGCAGTGAAAGTGAGTGGTGAGACGCTGGCCCCAGGAGGACCCCAGGCCCTCCACTTACTAGTTAGATGACAGCACATCCAATCATCTTCCTAAGATGCTGTTACCAAGTGAACCAAAGTCAGGCTGGTCAAGGCTTAGCACAGGGTGTGGTGCTTATTGCCTCAGAGTGTCATTAGTTCACTAGTTCACATTAGGCCACTGTCATTAGTTCACATCCGTGTGCTTTCAACTCACTTCCTGGGCATTCTCTGGTTTTGATCTGAGGTCAGAAGCTGTCGGGAAGGTTGGTTGACTCCTCCTGAGAATCCTGGGAAATCTTCTCTGTGTGATTTCTTTTCATGTTTTACTATGCTGCTCCTTCATTTTATTGGTTTCTATTTGTCAGAACCTTTTTCTCCATCTTCCTCCTTTCACTCATGACTACTTGGCGCTGGCAGACTCCATCTGGGGTCACGAGTCTGGTGTAACAAACAGGGCCAGGAAAGCCACACCCCGCTCCAAGTTGGCTGCAGGGCCAGCTGTCCATGCCTCAAATGTCCCTCTCAACTCCAAAATGATTCCAAAGTGCCACCTTCAACTTGGCAGAAAGTCTGATGCCACCACCTGTTTCTCCTAAATCCCTTGTTTCCTCAGATCTTTGAAGACCCCAGCCAGCCATTTCTAGTTTTACCTGACTGTGTAATGCATTCTACTTAGATCAGCAAAAGTGAGTGGGTTAATGAGTCATGACAAGCTGCCTACCTTATTTTAGCCGACTACTCCAGGCAGACCGACCCTTTCCAATTAGCAAGTCATGTCTCTGGTATAGGGCATTAAGGGAATAAGCTCTAGGGTCAAACAGCCTGGGCTCACATCCCGGTTCCATTACTTATAGTCCCGAGTCTTAGTCTATCATCTGTAAAACAACTATTTATCTGCCTCACAGAGTTGTAATGATTAAATGAGAAAGTACACAGAGGAAACTTAGTTCAGTGGCTGACATTAGTAATGGTCAATCTGTGTTAGCAGTGGTGACTGTGGTGATGGTAGTGGTGGTTGTGATGGTAGCGGCAGTGATGATGGTGGGGCTGGGGTTGATGGTGACAGTTGTGATGGTGATGGTGGTGGTGATGATAGTGCTGGTGATGGTGGTGATGGTAGCGGGTGGCGGGTGTGGGACTGGGGGTGATGATTGTGGTGGTGGTGGAGGTGATAGTGATGGAACTGGCAGTAATGGTGGTGGAGTTGGGGTTGATAGTGATGGTTGTGATGGTGATGATGGTGGTGGTGTCGGTTGTGATGGTATTGGCAGTGATGGTGGTGGTAGTTGTGGGGTTGGGTTGAAGGTAATGGTTGTGATGGTGATGGTGTTGGTGAGCATGGCAGTGGTGATGCAGTGATGGAGGAATTGGTGGGAATAATGGTGGAGGTGGTGGTGGATGGGGGTGAGGTGATGTTGGTGATGCTGCTGCTGCTGCTGTTGATTCTCCTCAGTCAACTCTGTGAGGAAGCATTTCTTTCTCCTGTGGCAAATAACAGGATTTTTTTCTCTCAATAATTCCCAAATATTCCTCTTGATATCAAAATTTTGAGTTGATATTGCTCCTGTTTTTTCAGAATGTCTGGAGTCATCCCCAAGGGATGAAGCCTCATACTCCTCTAGTTCAATAATACACATATTTTCCATGATATTTTTCTTCTAAGCACTCGCTCAATCCTGGTCCTGGTTCCATCTATCCCTGGGGAACTCAGCAGAAGTCTACATCTCTTCTTACCAGCAGGCTACCTCACATTTGCAGCATGAGCAGTGAGCACTTTCAGGGAGAAAACATTTGTACAAATAACTGATGCAGGCCCAAAATGGATGTCCTCGTTTCATAGTGACAGGCTGAGCCACTGTCCTGCCCCTGCCCCTGGAGACTGCCCATGTGTGTTCCTGCTCCCCGGCCCTCCTCTGCCTCCAGAGCTGCAGAACTGTGGTGGAGCCGGTAGCCTCTCCTGGAACATGCACAGGTGGGAGACTCCGGCGTTCTGCTAAGGAAACCTCCCACCTGTCTGAGATCTTGCAGCACATGGTAACACACCCCAAATCCAAGGAGATAACAACAGATTCAGAAAGCTTATTCTCAGTCCTCCCTGGTGTGCTTTCTGGAATAAATCTCCAGGTCAACAGCACCCCTCCCTTTATATTTAGAGAATTTCACACACTGAGATGCATGTTAGTTTGATTCCCATTTATCAATGCATTTGTTCCCCGCAAAAGTGGGTAGACTGAGCTTCAGGGAGGCCAGAGAACAGCTCTGCATCACACAGAGGCTCAGCTCTGACTCTCAGCCTGCCTCTCTCTGCAGCCACACACTCCTGCTGGCATCTGGGCACACAGCAGCCTCAGGCTCAGGACCGGCCTCGCTGGAGGATTTGAGGAGTCATTAAGGATAACAGCATGCACACTGAGCCAGCTGAGATGGAGGCCTCATCAGAGCAGCAAACTTTTCTTGAGCATCACCAAGGACGCTGCAGGAAGGGCGCTGTGCCTTCTGGGAGCAAAGCTGACTACACTGGAAGGAAGGAAGGGCGAGGGAGGGAACCTTTCCGCTGTCTTTCTCCCAGCTCGCCACACTAGGCGGGTGCCCCCCGGGAGCTGAGCCCTGCTGACTCGGGGTGTGCTGTGCTCACCCCTTTGTCAGATGGAGCACCAGTGCTGACTCTGCGGGAGCTGAGGCTGACAGCCCCTCTCCCCACCCCCATACCCGCAGAGTGATGCGGCACAGGGGCTAATGGGCTTGCATCGATCCTGCCGACCAGGCCAGCAAGAGGGTCACGTAACATGAGAGCACACCGGAGCTGGCTCATGAAGACTCAGGGACCGCCTGTATACCTGCGCTCAGTCGCTCACATGTATGTGCAGCCAGCACCCCGACAAGGGCGTTGGGAACAGCGATTTAGACATCTTATCGCCAGACTCACTGGAGAGCAGGGCATTCCAAGGGACAGCTTATCCTGAGTGTCCCTCCAGAGCCACGCTTTGGTGATAAACATAATATTTATGATGGCAGGGCAGATGTCCTCCTGATCCCTAATCAGTGTTTTTCCATCTTAGGAACAGCAAAAGAATCACTTAAAAAAATTGTATTGAATATAGATTCCCAAGTTCCATTCTTAGAAGTCGAAGGTGGGCCCAGGGAGTCTTATTTTTTCTGATGCTGTACTGAATCGAATATTATGGCCTGTGCTCAAACCCTCAGAGACACCAGCACGGCCCTTGTGGTTTGCTCCCTAATCTCCCATTTTTTAAGACACGTGTCTTTTTTTTTTTCAGTGGGGTTTGTAAAAATTGAGAATCTCTTATAGCAAAACACTTGATCAACTCTATTGGGAGTATGGATCTTATCTCCAGAGGGAAGATATGACCAGGAGCCCAGTTCATCTAAAAAGAGCCCCATCTTGGTGGCCAAAAAGTGGCTCAGGCATCACAGTGACAGCCAGCAGCCTGCTTATCTTGCCTCTGTGCTCAGGGAAGCTGGTGAGTCTGGGCTGCCGGCCAACTGGGTCAGGCTCTGGAGCCCTCTAGATCAGGAATCTCCCCTACTTCCCTCCAGGCCTGGGAGTGGTGAGCAGTGCTGGGAAGTCCAGAGAGAGGGCGCTCACAGGAGAGGCGGGGTCGAGGGGTGGGGGAAGGTCGTGGGGAGCTGGGACTCACGGCTTGGTCCTCGGATCTTGATGGGCTTACTGCTGGTCATGGACTGGGAGCACGTCTGACACACACATTCCTTCCCGCTGAAAGTCACCTTGTCTCCAATGGGGAAAGGCTTCCTGCAAAGGGCACAGGGAGAAAATCAGCTCCTGCTCTCCGGAGGGTGTCTGCTGGTGACCTGACCACACATGTAATAAAGGCCTTTGGAAACACACACAGTTTCCTGCTAGAGCACCAGGTAAGGTCAAATGCCGTTCACAGGCCAGGCCGGCTAAGCCAGTCCACTAGGGCCCAGTGGGACCATCTACACGGGCCAGTCATGACCTCATCCTATATTTCTCATCTGTGGAACCAAGAAGCTAATAACTCCTCTCAGACTTGTTCCTTTTTCCATCCCAGTTTATCCCTATATCCCTGTATGGGATGAATTCCGTCAACTGCCAAACTTTCCAAAATTTCATTTTTTGTCTTTATTTTTGTTTTATTTTATTTTAATCAAGGTCTTTATTTTGAAGTCATATTGCCTTCATTGAGGCAGGTTTGCTCTAAAATACTGCAATGATTTTCAAATTATCTGTCCTTTAAGATTAAGTAGAACTTAACTAGAAAGTTATCTGCTCCTGGTGCCATTCACCAATCTGTACTGTGGCCACTGGTCCATCCAGAATTTTAATGGTAGGTAGGTCAATAATGATAATTTGCATCAAAGAGGAATAATACATTGCTCATGGTTTTCAACTTGCCATAGGGTTGCATGCAATGTTTAAGCAGATTCCTTGAAGTTCTTCCACATTAGAAGTGGCTGCTTGAACATTCCAAAATTTTTGTTTTCCTCCTCTCCCCTTTTTTAAAAAAAAAAATCCTAAAGAAGTGTTAATTTTATTCATCCTTTCAAATAACTAGTGTTCGAAGTTTAGCCATTATTTTATTTATTTATTTATTTATTTATTTATTTATTTATTTATTTATTTCACAAACACATATATAGCATTTACTCTGTGCCAAGGACTGTTTTAACCACTTTACAAATATTAACCCTTTTAACTTTCTTTTTTAAGCTTTTTTTCCTCAAGTGGGGTTCAGGCCAGAGTTGTGGTGGCTGAGAAGATTCACCAGAGAGAGTGGGGAGCAGAACAGGCAGATCTACTGAAATACACTGCTGAGGGGAGCAGCAGGCGAGACAGGGGAGGTCTGCTGTGCCAAGTGGGTTGCTCCCCAGCTGGACAGGGATTGAACTCGAACTCGCACGGCAAAGGCTGTGGACAACCTCACAGTGCTGTGCTCAACCCCCTGCACCAGCAGGGAGGCCCCCTTTTAACTTTTTGTAACAATCCTATGACAGGCTGTCATTAACTCAATTTTGGCAAGGAAACAGGTGCTAGATTATTTTGGATTTGCCATTTAGTATTATACTTTTTCACTAATGATTTCCATCAAGAGCAATATCTTAATGCTGTAGGCTTTGAGATACTTTTCACTTTCACCAAACTCAGAGAAGTTTAGAAGGTCACCTCCTCCCTCCACCTCTGGATTTGTGTAGTCTGAGTGACACAGGTCAGGGATCTCAAGCTCCACATGTCCTGCCTCCCCAACTAATAAACCCTAGAGAACCCCCAGAACGTTCCCACCGTGCAGCTGTTCCAGCGCCTACATCTGTGTTCCCTGCCCTGGGAGAACCTCAGGGCCAGGTGCAGGGTCAGAAAGTGAGTCCTCACCCCCACCCAGCCTCCTACTTGTGGTACAAGGGTATGATATGACCTTGAGGAGGCATCTCATCTCTATGGATTTGACAAAAGCTTCACTTTACACCCTACAGACACCGACTATGCTTAGCCCCAGTGGCTCTGGGATTCCCCAAGATCCAGGTTTTCAGGGCTGGATGAATGAATTAATTCCACTGTATATTTTCTTATACACCATCATTATCTCAAGCAGAAATACTTATTGGTTAGTTATTCTAACTGATGACTAACTGGATCTAACTAGTAACTAACAGGTGGTTATTTTATGGGGAGAATAATTACATTCTTTTCACAACAAAAAATGCGTATGTGTGTAGGTATATGTATATTGCAATCACACTTTACTTATAATGGGAGCAACCCATTGAATTTTAATGTATTTGTGGACAGAATTGAGGTTTTCTTTATCTTTTCCAAGTTCCTTAATGTGGTTCTTGGCACAGAGTAGACCCTTAATATCCATTTACTAAGTTAACAAGTGACTGGGATGCTGGGGGTGGGGCACTGGGTGAACTTCTCCAGGGATCTCCTGAGAGGCTAGATGATTATCATTATGATAACAACAACAAAAAACTACAAGCAGACACATCATGTACCAGTCACGGAGTTTTTGTCTTGGCCTGCATCATCTCTTTTATCTTCATGAAAACTCAATGAGGTGGGAAGGCTTTGATGCCCATCTCGTCGATGAAGCACCTGAGGCTTCCAGCAGTGGGGCCACTTGCTGGGGTCATGGAGGAAATCTGTAAACGGTATCTCTGTACCACGCATGGTGGGGGGTGTGGGAGCCTGAACCACATCGCTGGCCTCCAAATGGAGTTCTCAGTGGTCAGTGTACTTGGGGCTCCTTGGGGGCTCCTTTGGGGCTCCTTTGGGGTCTTTTGAAGTGAAATGAGAAGCTGAGTATAAGAGGCGTGCACTTTGGCCCTGCCTTCATCACAGGGCAAACAAGTGTTCTACATTAGACTGTATTTGCAGGCAAGGATTCAGCTGCTGAAAGGTTGGAACACTACTGGCCTGGGATTCTAGACATTTAAGCATCTAGCATAAAGCCCTGAAAGCTCAGAACTGCTTAGGAAAGGCCATATCCCCCTTCCCTGGGACATGGGTGAGGTCGCAGCTCCGCTTGTCACCCTCTCACCTGCACAAGCTGCACACGAAGCACTTGGGGTGGTAGGTGCGGCCCAGGGCAGAGATGACCTCGCCCGTAATGAAGTCCCGGCAGCTGTCGCAGCGGGTGCCATAGAGTTGCTGGTAGTCCTGGGTGCAGATGTACTCCTGGTTCTTGAAGAAGAAGCCTGACTGGGCCAGGCCACAGCCACACACTTGGGGAAAAGAGTAGAGAAACAGGCAGGTTGAGTCCTGGGAGGGCGGCAAGCATGAGGTCCTCACTGGGGACTCGGCATGAGTGATCAGAGAATGGTGGTGCATTGGCCTGCATGGGCCTTAAGGTTCCTTAAAGTGTGACCCAAGGACCATTTGCACCAGAATTGCCTCAGGGCCTTCTGAAGATGCAGAATCCTGGACTGGAATCAGACTCCCAGGGCTGAAATCCAGGCACCTGCATACTCCCCAGCTGATTTCAGTGCTCCTGACTGATGTGTGATCCTCTCAACACAAGGATGAAAAGCTTTAGGCCATGTGGCTCAGGCAACATGCCACAGCTGGTGGTCTCATGAATTTGATAAAAGTATCATTCAGTTAAAAATGTCCTTGGTACTTTCTACATGACTCTGTGTGAGGTGGAGAGCAGTGTGGGGACCATGTGCTCACATCCCAAATGGCACTGGGATGGATGATTTGAAGTTTGTAATCTGTCCTCACTATTGCCATAAAATGTGGTTTGTTCTCAGACAAGAATGATAAAATGAATCCTGACCTAGGAAGAGCTTACAATGTAGAGATGAAGACTGTTTACAAGACTGTACAGAATTATACCTCATGGATGACAGGCCTTAGGATGATGCAAGCATCAAGAGTTGTACATGGGGAGGGAAAGGGAATATTTTTCAGTGGGGATGGGATCATGGAAGGCTTCGTGGAGGAGGGGGCATCTGAGTTGATGTTTGAAGGAATAGACTATGCTAAAGGATGGAGTCAGATGTGCAAGTGATACTTAATGTGGAGACAGGAAAGCATAGCGGTGATATTTTTAGGGAACAGAGTGCCTTGATATAGGAAAATATACGGCCAGTTGGAGGAGGGCCTGAGTCCAGCTTAAGAAGTTTAGAGTTTGTGGTTTACCGAGAAACCATAAATGGTATTCCTCCTAGAATTTTTTTTAAAAGATTTATTTATTTATTTATTTATTTATTTATTTATACAAGAACTGGGGTATAGGCCAGATGCGAGGGAGGGTGAGAGGATTCACCAGAGATAGAGCAGGGAACAGAACAGGCAGGCTGACGAAATACACTGCTGAGGGGAGCAGCAGGCGAGGCAGGAGAGGTCTGCCGCGCCATGTGGGACTCTTGCCGGCCGGTATCGAACTGGCGCTGCAGAGGCTGCAGACAGCTTCACAGCACTGCAACCACCTGCGCCACGAGGGGAGGCCCCCTCCTAGATTTTAAAGACTTTTAAGTGTATGGTTTTGCCAATGTTCATAAACAAGACAAACAAATGAATTAAATAAAACAAAAATAAACTCTTAGGCTATAAGACCAAATTTGTGGTTACTACAGATTTGTGGGGGATGAGGGTTAATAAATTGGGTAAAAAGGGTCAAGTGGATGGTCAAGGATGAACTGGACTTAGTGGTGGTGAACTTAATGTTTGCTGTGCAGAGGCTGATTACGGTGCTGCACCCCTGGAACATATAATGCTACCATGCCATGTTACTCCAACAAAATGTTCTTACTAAATAAAACTGTTTTTCTCCCTAAACAATAAAATTTAAAACACCTTAAAAAAGTCTTAAAATTATTTAGAAAAACCTTCAATGTGCCCAGAAGTAGAGAGAAGATTATAATGATTCCCCATCATCCAGCTGCAAAACTGATGAACTGCATCGATGGCTTATTATTTTTTTTAAAAAAGATTTATTTATTCATGCATACAAGAACCAGGGTATAGGCCAGATGCGCAGGAGGGTGAGAGGATTCACCAGAGACAGAGCAGGGAACAGAACAGGCAGATTGACTGAAATACACTGCTGAGGGGAGCAGCGGGCGAGACAGGAGAGGTCTGCCCAGCCATGTGGGATTCTGTGGACAGCTTCACAGAGCTGCGCTCAACCTCCTGCGCCACCAGGGGAGGCCCCATTGACGGCTTTTGAGTAGAGAAGCGACATGACTCTATAAGGTGTTTCATAAGGTCTTTTGGGATATCCTTGCAGGCAATATGAAGAAATGCAGGACAGATAACAAAAAAGCAGGCAGATCTAATTATAGGTATTATAACATGGTATTTTAACTGAATCATCTGGTATTCTAACTGAATCACAGGGGACCCTTCTCCCCCAAAGGACTTAGAAATGTGGGAAGTGAGATTTCCCTCTGAGAGTGAAGTTATGAAATCAACACATTATGGGCAAAGCAGAAAGAGGCAGTTTCTTCCAAGAGATCGAATGGCTCTGAGGCTCAGCAGAAGCGCTAAGTGTGACAAACCAGCTCAAGTGGGGGTGAGGGGCTGGCCAGCACAGGTGGGCCACCGAGAGCCCTGCGGAGCCCCAGCCCAGCTCCTCTGCTCTGCGTCTGCAATCACCAAGCATCTGTCTGCACACAGATTGCCTGTGGGAGAGAAGCAGCTGGTGACGGCACCGCGGACTAGCACAACGGAGAGCTACAGCTCCTGTTCAGTCTAGTAAACAGGCACCGTGGTTTTACATATCAGGTTCCCAGCGACTTGGTTAACTCAAGTTGGCTTTTCCAAGCAGGATCCTTGGTGGGGGGACCAGTGAAACATTTCCCAAGCCGCTAATTGTGAGAATCTGGTTCAGACCAGGGGCCACCACCCCGGAACATACGGCCTCATCTTTAATAGGGGGAGTTGTTCTGCAAGAGCAGCTAGGTTAAAAATAGGAGGGACTTGCAGGTGAATACCAGAGCTATTTCGCCCCTGTTTTTTTTACCTTCAGGCCAGAGCAGCCTCAAAGGAGCGGGGAGTGTGAGGAGAAGGCGGCTCCAGATGCCACAGCGTGAGGGGAACAGGACAGGACAGCAGGAGACACAGAAGTCTGAGACTCACCCACGGGCTCTGGTCACTGCCACTGACTGTTAGAGGGATAATGTACTTGGCCCCTCTTGTTTGTGGCCTCTGTTTGCTGCCATTAAAATGAAGAAATTGGACAAGAAGTGACCTGAGCTTTTCTGCGGCTACTGACATCCCGTGAGTCTAGAAGGAGCACTCCCTACAGCGCTTACTGTGCACCTAAACGTTTAAAACTCAGTGTGAGGAGAAGCGGAGGCCGCTGGAGGCCACCCCGGAGGAGGGGCTGGGTCTATGCTCCCAGGGTAATGGTGGAGGTGGGAGGTGGACAAGGGCTTGTTTCGATGAAAATTCTTCATGTTGAACAATGCCTGGTCTGGAGAACGGGGGAGGAGAGAGAGCAGGGGACGAGAGAGCACGGGCTGTTCTTAGCCGTGCAGGTGGCAGATCAATTGACTTCACGGCTGTGGAATTAGTTAGGTCATGGCCTCCGACCTCATTGGAAGCAGATTCTGTTTTTTCCCCTTCTTTTCTCTCCTTTGTTTCTCCTGCCAGCTCTACCTCCAGGGTCTCCTCTCCTACTGGAGCAAACCAGGAGGCTCTGAGCAAACTTGGAACAATCAGTTCCTTCATTTCCCCCAAGGAGCTGAGGAGGAAGTTTTTGGTAGAAAGGATGTCAAGGTTGATAAGAATCGCAGGGGTTCCTGGAATTACAGTGGGGAGCAGGAGGATGGAAGGCTGGACCAGCACTGTAGTTGTATGTGAGGCTGAGTGCAGCCCAGTGTTCAAACAACAGGAAAGGGCTGGCGAGGCCCTGCAGGATGGAAGTGGTGTGGGATTAATATACAAGGGGCAGTCATTATTCTGTGCAAAAAAAAAGCCTACGTTTGATGATGGGACAGAACATGACAAGCGAGAACTGCTTTAAGAGAATCCAGAATGACTGTCCACTGTTCTACCATTCTGTGACTTAAAAAAAGTTAGCCCACCTCTCTGGAGCTCAGTTGCCTCGTTTGTAAAAATGAAGTGGTTCAGCGGTAACTGAGGACACATTCAGATGTGAGACTCCAGGATTCTGTCATACAATCCTGCTGATTTTCAATTTATCAAAGAGATTGAGTTTTATGACATTTCCAAATCAAGGAGCTAGAGGGGTCCCTGCCAGCCATCCAATTCATTATTTTAAATGTTTCAATTGTGAAATATATTATACATATGGAAACTATATAAAGTGCATATGTACAGGTGAGAGGAGGATAATAAAATACACTGCCAGGTACTGCTAGCAAGGGTCTGAGCGGGAACATCACCAGCACCTTCTCAGCCTGCTTTCTCTTCCTAAGAGCCGTCCCTTCCCGCATGGTCTTGGATTATGTGTTTATCACCCCCTTGCTTTTCTCTATAATTTTATCACCGATGAGGTGCCCACAAATAACAAATTGTTTAGTTTTTCCTGTTTTTGAATTGGCACCGATGGAATCAGGTGACATTCTTTTGTGCTTCTTTCATTCAGCATTATGATTTTGAGCTTCACCCATGTTGATGCATGTAACTGTACTTCATCCATTTTCATTGCTGTGTAGTATTCTGAAGGACATCAAGCTGAGTTTTTCTATTTTTTTGGAAATACTGTTTTGAACATTCTTATATTTTCAAGGCAATGCTTGTTTTCTGAGGACTTTTTCCAATTTACATTCCCACCGACACTTCCCCCTGATCCATGGTATCATTAAGTCCTTGTAATACCTGCCTTTTTTTTTTAAGATTTATTTATTTATACAAGCACTGGGTACAGTCAGAAGCGCGGGAGGATGAGAGCATTCACCAGAGCCAGAGCGGGGAGCAGAGCAGGCAGAGGGACCGAAGTACACTGCTGAGGGGAGCAGCGGGCGGCAGGAGAAGTCTGCGCGCCATGTGGGACCCTCCTCTGGTGGCCGGGGAGCAGCCGGGGATTGAACCGGCGCTGCAGAGGCTGCGGGCAGCCTCGCAACCCGGCGCTCAACCGCTGCGCCACCGGGGAGGCCCCCATTCAGAATTTTAATGGCAGGTAGGTCAATAATGATAATTTGCATCGAAGAGGAATAATACATTTTTCATGGTTTTCAACTCGCCATAGGGTTGCATGCAATGTTTAAGCAGATTCCTTGAAGTTCAGAACAGGCAGACCAACGAAATACACTGCTGAGGGGAGCAGCGGGCGCTACAGGAGAGGTCTGTGCACTATGTGGGACCCTCGCCAGTGGACGGGGATCGAACCAGCGCTTCTGAGGCTGCGGGCAGCTTCGCAGCCCAGCGCTCAACCGCTGCGCCACCAGGGGAGGCCCTGAAACACTATCTTATTGTGATTTTAAATTTTATTTCCCTGGTTATTAATAAAATGAGACCCTTATTCTAAGTCTATGGGCCATTTTTGTTTTTACCCACAAGGAGCATGTAAAAGTACTTCATTCCTTCCTACTGCCAAATAATATTTCACTATTTGGGTACAGCATATTTTATTTATCCCCTTATTATCTCATGGATATTTAAACTGTTTCCACTTTTTGACTATGATGTGTAATACTGATATGAACACTTGTGTAATGTTTTTGTGCGGGCATATATTTTCTATGGCGGCCGTTCCATGGGTCAACTTCTTATATTCATGATGGTGTATTTTGCAGCACAAAAGTTTTTAAATTTGATAAAGTCTACTTTATCTATTCTTTTGTTTTTGTGCTTTTTTTTTTTTTTTTTTGTTTATACATGCACTGGGTACAGTCAGAAGCGCGGGAGGGTGAGAGAATTCACCAGAGCCAGAGCAGGGAGCAGAGCAGGCAGAAGGACCGAAGTACACTGCTGAGGGGAGCAGCGGGAGGCAGGAGAGGTCTGCGCGCCATGTGGGACCCTCCTCTGGTGGCCGGGGAGCAGCCGGGGATCAAACCGGCGCCGCAGAGGCCGCGGGCAGCTTCGCAACCCAGCGCTCAACCGCTGCGCCACCGGGGAGGCCCTGTTTTTGTGCTTTTAGTGCCATATCCAAGAAGATTTTGCTAACTCAAGGGCATAAGGACTTACTCCTATACTTCTTCTATGAGTTTTATAGTTTTAGCTCTTACATTTCGGTCTTAGAATTAGATTCTCACTTTGATCAGGCTCTATGCTTTGCCTCCTCTTCTCCATGGTCCCTACTCATCAAGGCAAAAGCTCAGTCTCCAAGCATCAGCATAAACCATCCAGGGTAAATCTGGCACTGGCAGTCACCCTAGGATTTCTGCTTTTACTTTTGTTTTTCCCCCTCTACAGATTTTTTCCTTTCATGTCCGCATGTTATAAGAGTAATAAAATAAATTCATAGTGATTTGAGAGATTTCAAATATGAAGATAACTAATCTTTGTACTGGTTACTCCTGAAAACAAAATCCTCCCAGTGGTTTTACCTTGAAGCAAGTTGACATTGACATTAGTCCAAAAAATTGTCTATTTTTTCCCTACAATCTCTAGCAACAGAGATTCTATAACCTCCTCATGATAGATTGTCAAAAGGGCCATATTCTTTCCTCCTCTGGATTCACATCCTTGAAATATGCACTGCAGATATTTCCACAAAAGGTAAAGTTTATTTCTCCAATATCTTGAATCTGGGCTGACCAATTGACTTGTTCTGACCAATGGGACATTAACTCTGACACAAGCTGCTTAGTGAAGCTTGTTCCCTTGTGGCACTGGAAGTCTGAGACCAGGCAAATGAGCCCAAGCCAGCCTGCGGGAGGATGAAGAGCCAGATGGAGGCACTCAGCTCATCAGCCTGCCAGCCGCAGCCAGATGACCACCACCTCATCCTAATGAGGCCAGCAGAGAGTAGTGTGGGCAGCTCAGCCTACAACTGCCAGCCAACACAGAGACCCAGATGCTAAATAGAAGATTGTTTTAAGTCATTATATTTAGTAACTGATATACTCTTAAGAAGATAATTGCGTAGTCATAGGTCAGAAGCTCCTTATAACAGTTTTATTGTCCTTTTTTATTTTTTGCATAGAAGAACTGGGGTGCAGGCCAGAGATGCAGGGGCGGGGGGGGTGGTGAGAGGATTCACCAGAGACAGAGTGGGGAGCAGAACAGGTGGATTTACTGAAATACACTGCTGAGGGGAGCAGCGGGAGAAACTGGAAAGGTCTGCTGTGCCATGTGGGGCAGCTCCCTGGCCGGGATCTGATTGAACTCAGACCTTCACATTGGTAGTACTGAGACTTAACCCCTAGGCTACCAGAGAGGCTCCAGTTTTATTTGTCTTTACCCTTTGTCCTGTCTGGATTTCTGAGGATGTAAAAATGGTTACTCATTGAAATACTCTTGCATTAAAGGTGTTCGCAAGCCTCGATAGGAGATTTAAAGTACATCAGTTATAATATAATATAATATAATATATATCAGATATAATATATCTTCAGTGCATATAATATATCCTAAGTTATAACTTAGGGAATATAGTTATGTAATTTATTTGCTCAATGAAGCATCCAGTTTGATCCTGAAGAAAGAAGTCTGGGATTTTTCTCTACGGCAAGGGAAGTCAATCTCAGACACGTGAGACTGAGGTTGGCAGTGGTTACTAAAATAGAAATATTTGGGGGTTTCAATTGAACCTTAAATTCATTATACAGCAATGGTGTGAAGTGGCTGCCTACAAATTCAAGTCTGTGTCAGCCATATTAGCAGCATGGAGTATCGGCTGAGTTGCTGGACCTTGAGAACTGTGACCTGCTCTGGATGTCATGCTGTAAGAATGATAGTGACACATCAGGAAGGGATCAAGGAGGAAGATTCAAAGATGATGCTATAAATTGGAATCACTTCAGCAGAGGCCCAAGTTAAGATCCTGAGTATAGCTGGACATGGGGAAGACACAGCGACACCCACAGAGCAGCAACTGGGAAAAGTACACCGTGCTCACCCTGTCCATGAGAACAGAGAAATCGAGAACTGACAGGTGGAAGTAATGGGTCCTGCACTGAACTTTTTCTAAACCCACCAGGTACTCTACCTCAGGCAGGGTGCTCTGTGGAGCAAGGGCCTGGGAGAATAGCTTAGGTAGTAGAGCTAGAGTGGCATTTGTCAGGGATGCTGGGGCGGGGATACTGTCCTGGATGGGCCAGGGCTGTCCAGGCTCTTTTTGCTGAGACCCTCTTATTTCTGCTGCCAGGTATCCTGCTTCTGAGAAATTCTCAGCTCGGCTGGGTCTACAAGTCCCCTTAGCTGGGGTAAGGTGTCATAATTTGGGGTCACCCAGTACCCATCTGCTTCCAAAGTACAGACCTTATACTAAGATTAAGACTACTTCTCCCTTGTTAACCTTAACTTTGAGGATGGGCAACAGAAAAGGTGTCATTGTCACAGAATAGGTGCTCGTCTCAGAAACGTGCCGAAATAACAGCTAAAAGAGCTTGCTCTGTCATTTGCTCTCAAAGTGATGTAGGGGCAAAATCAGTAGTCTTCAGAAGCAAGTCATGCCCACACCGTTGCCTTGCCTGGCAGGTGAGTACGACTACTCTGAGGTCAGGCTTCCGTCTCCCCCATATCCCAACACTTCCCTCACCCGTATCTCCATCTTTAGTCGACACTGCTTAGGAGAATTCCATAAAGGGAAGACTCTTTAGGACTTTACCCATATCTCAACTGCTGGTGATTATTCTGCCCCCTCTGTGGTATGTCCTGGGGGTGACTTCATACGCAAGAATCTGAGAAGGGAGTCAGGGAATTGGACCTCCTACCTTGGCAGGTGAAGCATCTGATGTGGAAGTGGTTATTGTGGACACGCACCACTTCCCCTTTGCAGGTGTCTCCACACCGGTAGCACTGGATGACATTGGAGCTGCCCCGGGGATTGTATGGATTCTGCTGATAAGGAACTGTAGAAAGAAACAAAGAGATCACCATCCAGAAGCCCCTTCTGCTTAAAAAAGTTTGCTATAAATAATCTTAACTGGAAGAAAAAGCCAAGAGGGTGGAAATGATGAGAAAAGTACCTTCAAGACAACATCAAGCTGAGCTGCCAAGGAAAGGTGTCTTAGACAGCGAGAAGCATTGGGGTGTGAGCCCATGAGTCTCCATAAGGAGGCAGACTTAGGGTTGAGCAGGACCTTTGTCAAATTCACAAATGAAGAATAAAACAGGAAGTAGAATGCTTCAAGGCCCATGATCCACAAACACCATTTCTTGGGTGACATCTGGAGGCAAGCCAGGCCCTAAACTTGTCAAGGGAATATGGGTCTTGTAGTTGACATGTGGGTTTCAAAGAACTGCATGGCTGGCCTGCCTCCAGCTGGTCTTTTTGTTATGTTACACCCCCTCCCTGGCTCTCAGTCTTAAGGAGACAAATGTAGGTACTCTGGAGAGGAGGAGTTAAAGCTGCCTTTGAATAGTACTTTCCCTAACGTTGACAAAATGTCAAATTTGCATAATTAAGAAAAAAAAAAAAGCTGATGGAGGGTGTGAAGGTTTGGAGTGCGGTGGTCGGCATTTGATGATGTTTCCAAGCTCTCCCAGCCTATCCAGTTTCTTGTTCTCTTGCTTAGACTGCCTCATGGCTAATTGTCTAGAACTTCTTTCCTTGCAATACCTTGACCATTCTAAATCTGTTCTTCTGGTATCTAATAATAATATGGATCTACCTGGAATGAACAATCTCTGGGTTGAAAGGACTATTAGCAGCTGCCTGGTAAAACCTCATTATGTATAAGCTATTTTGATAACTTTGCCTTTGGGGGAAACAAATCTCTCTTGTAGGAAGCCCCTAGGGGCACCAGGGAGAGAATCATTCAATTCCTTAATTCTCACTCAAAGTTGAAAGAATAGTCCCAAACTTCTGCTCATATCCTAGTAGGAAAAGGCACCTGATTGAAGGGGAATTGGTGTCTATCATCTCTACATATAGATTTAATGGCTACATTCTGAATAAGCATATAATAGGTCAATTCAGACTTACAGAAACCTCACACTGCCCAAGAACTTAGAGAAATCTAGCTCAGGGGTCCTTGATTTAGCGTGGTAGTTCAGTCTCTTCACTAAAATTTGAATTCTGTATTCCAGGCAATAAAGAATTACACACAGTGATTTTCTTGGCAAAGAAACATGAATGGAAACTATGTGAGTCACTTCCAGTTGGAAGCCTTTAGACCCAGCATGTGACCTTCTATATTGCCTTCCTCAGCAACCAGCAATACCCCCAGAGGGTGTGCAGGATGCATGAACTTGGACCCCTGATTGAGGGAGGAGTCATGGAACAGAGCTTCCAGCTGGCTCACAAGAACATCTATTATGAAGAGGGGAAGTTTTTGCTATCATTACCTCTAAGACTTTTTGTTAATGCGGCATATCCTGACTGATACACCCGGGACCTAATACTTCTAATTAAATATAAAATTTGGTGTTAGATATATTATTCCATAGTTCTCTTCAGATTCTCAAAGATGATCTCTATAACTGACTCCATCTGCCCTTCTCCCTTTAAAGTCAAAGGACAAGAGAGAAGTATGCTCTGCAATGTCCACATCAGGCACCTGGATCTTCAGTGTGCTGACAGGTAGAGCTGGCTGCTTAGCCATGAGATGTAGCTTCCACCGACTCTGCTATCTGAGTCAGGAGAATATCTCTCACAGTGTTTCTCTCATGGAGTTCATGCCTCTTAACCAACTCTTTTATCTTTATCCTATCTTAAAGACAGTTAAATGAGTTAGAGTTAATTAAGTCATTAATTACCCATCAAGCTTTTCATAAAGTACATTAAATGCTCTACAAATATTCACTGATATCATAACACTCACATCCTTCTGACAACTCAGAGCAATCTCTGTGGGCTCCCTACCGCCTCCCTCCCACAAACGTCCATGAACATTCTTTTTGGTTCTATCTCCTTTCCATTTTCGTCTTTTTCTGGTTCCTACAAACTGCCCCCTGGACAATATTTCACTCTGCCCCCAATTTTTAAGGAAGATACAGACCCTGCTTCAGTGAGCACAGTGGAGATCTGCTATTGCCAAGGGAAATAAAACGGTGAGTCTGAAAAGAAAGTGGGGACAGTTCTTGAAATATAAAAATTCCTCAGAATTGCTGCAAATTTTCATCTACCTCTTACTGCTCAAGAAACAACTTTGATCATTAATGAGATTTGAATTTCTGGAGAAACAGAACCATGATGTGGTCTTCTTCAGTCACAACTCTGTCCTGAACCACCCAGATAAAAAGGCATAAACGCAGAGTGAGGGGATGGATGGAGAAAGCAGACTCTCTGCAGTAGAGGTACAGATGGGACCCCTGGCCCTAACTCCACTGCTTCCCCCGGGATGTGGTTGATGCTTTGGTTATGCTGAGTGTGGCAGGCGCTCCTCATGTCTAGTGTTTGTAAATAGTTCCCAAAGTAGAGATGCACACATTGTTGCTGCCAGTTCTTTCAGATTGCTGATGTAAACTGAGATTGTGCAAAGGGCAGTGGTGTAGCAAGATTTGAGCTTCTAGATGTGACAAGACATTTCTTTATACAGACAGAACCAACAGGAACTTGGGGGTCCAGCCACAATAAGATAGGCCATCTCTGCTGGTGCCCTGTAAGCCACCTCATTTCCGGTAAGACTTTGTATCCTCGATAATGAAACTAACAACTCATCTAACCTTATTCTCTGTGTGTACAAGTGTGTTTGGGCAAGGGGTGTTATATTTCTTCCTTCCAATCTATAACCCTCCTGCAACATTCTATTTTAGTGTTGATTTTCTGCTGGTTATTATTGCCAACTTTTTTTTTTAATCTTAGAAAGTATAGAATAATTTGTGCTTAAAAAGTATAAATCAGTCACATGATTTATAACATGTTTCTTATGGTCAAATGCCTTTGAATTCCAAATTGACTTGCACATGAATTCTTCATGGGAGGCACAACCTATCTGGAGAGCAGTCATAAGCTTCAAAGGACATTGGCTCTACTCACTGTGAAATAATCTGTGAAGCTACCAAATGTAGACAGATGGGTCATGTGATAGGTTTCTAAAATGCGTACAAGGCTTCTGGTGAACGCTATTTGGCCAATAAAGGACACCCAGGAGAAACATATCCAGTCACTGTCCATGAGTAGTCCAATAGGACTTGCTGAGATATAGAAATGATGTTCTCTGTTTGCTGTCAAATGTAATAATCACTAGCCATATGTTCTACTGGGCACTTGGAAGGTGCCCAGCATGCCTGAGGTACTGAATTTTTCATTTTATTTAATTTTAATGAACATAAATTTATAGTTAAATAGGCAAATATGGCTGGTGGCCACCATGTTGGATGCTGCAGCCTTTGTTTAAAAAAACGGACCACCCAGCATTGAGAATGGGGGGAAAGGAAATTATCCTGGTTCAGTCCTATTTCTATAAAAATAACATGTACAAATTCATTCAGGAATATCACTTCAGACTTAAGTTGTTCCTTTGAAAAGAGTTTTAAAAATGTATTTACCAATTACACACACCCATCCTGAATTTGATTTTGAAACAAAAGATTCCAAGTAGTGAAATAAGTTATGCTTTTTTAATCACAATTTTCCAAGCATTACAAGATTGAACACTCTTAACCTTTCCAAGAATAAAAGCAAAAAATCAGTTGGCCATGACTGTCTGGATAGTTTTTAAAGACAGTTGGTCAATATTTTTGCATTGGTCCGAAACATTAAAGCCTCTTTTACACACACACCAAGCCTCTAGAGTTCCGTAGGAAAATACAGCTCAATTCCACAAACTAAAATTGTAAGCGGAGCTCTTCCCCAATACCACAAACACAACTGAAGATTGTTGGAGTGAAACAACATACTGGCAGGGAGGAGCACGGGCTTCCTGGAGAATTAGGAGGAGCACGTGGGTTGAACACAGGAAGGAAACCAGCACGCAGTGCTCCACATGGCTTCCCTCCTCCCTGTTATTCTCACTGTTATAGAGCAACCCCGATATTAAAGGGGTTCCTGGCTGTGGGTCCTCACCCGCGCGCTTTAAAGGGACTTATGACACACACAAAAGGTTAATAAAAGGTTTATTTACAAGAGAAAAGGAAATAAGGAAAATGTACAACTCAGGGAGAAAATAAGGAAATAAAGTCTTTAATGCGTCCTACCCGATCCGCCGACCTGGAAACCCAAAGTCACTCTCAGAGCGGGCCGGACGCTGCGAGCTGGCGGAGAGCCAAAAATGGGGGCTCCCCAAAGCCCACGTGTCTGCCTTTTACATCCACCTGGCTGCTTAACCCCACCCTCGGGTCCCAGCCACCTTCCCTTTGGTGGTGATGGGATTTGGAGTTCCCAGTGTCTTTGGCTTTGACCTGGGGTGGGGGTGGAGTCCACAAAGCCTATATGGAATTAACTTTGGGACATCCTTTTCCCCCTAACATCACCTCCTGTGTTTCTCTCTCCTAGACGGTGCTGGAGGGTAAGATGGGTCCCAATTCCTTCTCTGCTGTTATTTAGTTCTATGACCTCGGGCAAACCATCTAATTTCTGTGGCTCAATCCCCTCCTCTGTCACAGAAGAGACTGAACAAAATGATTTCTGAAATTTCCCCCAGTGAAAAAATTTTAAAAATTATCCTAGTTCTGTATGTCACTTCTGGGCTGCCTGCTCTCCCCTTCGCCCTCTCCTCTCTGGCGACTGGCCCCATGCTTAAATTAGACTGCGCTGTTTGTTATCAGATTGATTAGTTTCTTTTGAAAAGCAGATCATGGCATGCTTCCTCTCTCATCAACACCACCACCTAAATTATATTCTCCTCACTGATGGGTGTCTGCACAATTTTTCTCCTCTGTGGAGGGTCACTTGACCTTGCAGATCAAAATGCTTCCACATTCTAATTGAGTCGTCTTTAACATAGTCAGTCTTTAAAAGGCAGAA